AAAGTAATCTTTTCATGCTTAGTACAGGTCTTTCAGTAGTACAGCAACTTCTAAATGATGATTTGTTTGTGTCATCCCATATTAGACTTGTAGGCATGTTTTTTTCTCTTCTCTAAATACATTGTTTGTGTCCTTATTTTTATATTGTGTTAGAGCTGCTGAAATGGGAATGCCTAATAAGAAATTTCTGGTTAAGCAAAATCCTTCTGAAACAAGGTGAGAAAAATCACTTAGTCTCATCAAGAGGCTTTTTTTTTTTAAAAAAAGAAAAAAAATTATAAATCCTGAACTTCCTTTTTGTTGACTTTGTTCTATTTTACATCAGTAAAACACTTCTTGCTGAGTCAGAGGATCTCAGGCTCGGGATTGATAGTAATACCTGGTCATATACCTGGTCACGTGTCAGACCAGATGTTCCTGGCGCTTTGAGTGGGACATACTATCTCTGGTGGAAATTTGACCCTGCTATATCTTGAGTTTAGTCCACAGTCCAGAGGTTCTTTGATACTTAACTAAAAACCTTAGAAAGGTAACTTAATATTTCTGAACTATTTTCTACTCTTGTGAAATGACAGTGATAATTTCTTCTCTCACATGTTTGAAAGGAAAAGTTGTCTTTTGTTAAGTATATAAAATTATCTAAAAACACAACAGTTAATGCGTATGTTGGCCATCTTTTTCCTGATAAAAACCTAAGGTTTGGGCTCTTGGTGAGCAAAATATTAAGTACTATATTAATATGCTTTAATCAATTTGCTTTGCTTTGTGGTAATCTATAGGCCATGTCATTGCATAGATGACTTCCATCTTACTGTCATCATCTTTCATCCACTGAAAGAAAATGGGAAAACAGAATTTGTTTTTTGAATTAATTTTTTATTTAATTTGTCAACAGAGTCCTTCAGCCAAACCAAGGACAGAATGCACCTGTTCATAGGCTACTTAGTAGACAAGGGTAAGAATGTCACACACATGGGTATTTAAAAATATTCAAATCAAGATTTGCTTTGAGAGGGAAAAATACAGTGTTCTTTATATAAAGGATAACTATTTTTCGATGTGATTTTTTTATAGCATTGGGACGATATTTTAAAGTTTTGTTTTCAAATATAACCCTCTTTGTGTAATGCTGTGTATTATATTTTAATTGTCATCCTATGTTGGCATGTTTTTACTTTTCATTTCATCCCATTTTACTCATTTAAATAATTTAAATATCCATATAGTAAGTTCAACATTACCAAAGTGATTCTCCAACAAACTAGGAGTCATGGTTATAGTCTCCTGCTGAAGCAAAAGTATAGCTTTCCTTACTATGCGCATGCATAAATTCTTTTCAAGCTTATTTGTGCTTTGAACAGTTGATGCAGTGTGGTTGCTTTCTTTGAATTTTGAACATTTAGACCTTAATGCAAGTGACTTATTAATTTTTTTATATTCAATTAGAACCCCTAAGACATCAGTGAAGGGGGTTGTGCAAAATAGACAGAAGTCTTCACAGAGCAGAGTGGTGCCTAACAGAGCGCCTATTTCAGGTGTGTAGAAAATGAATTCTTGAAGCCCATTCAATAGAAGGAAGTGCACAAGCTACCCCGTAACCCAGGTCACATAAGTGGAATACATTGTCTTTCCTTGCCATCATAATTTTTGCATATTTATGGTCATTCCTATTAGTGTTCCTTTAGTATATTTTGTGGCAGTCAAAAAATCTTAGTAAAACTATGGTTCCAATCTTGATTTAATATTTCTATGGAAAACATTATATATGTTTTATTCTGAAAAATCTGTAGAATTATCCATGCTTAATTCAGAAAATCTTTTTATTAATGAGTAGAAGATAACGATCATCTGGTACCTAAATATATGCATGTCTCTTCAGCTTTGGGGAAGTATATCACCCAGGAATATTTGTATCTGTGCATAACGGGATGAAAGCTTTCTCCCTCTGACCAAAGATCATATGTGATTATGCCAGGTGTTGGGGTTCTTAATCTTTTGCTTAATAGGAAGCTTGAGCTAAATCTCTCCTTATGTTCATTATGTGAGGATTATTTAAGAGCTAAACTAAAAACTGTATTTTGAAATTCTGTTTATGGTGGCAAGAAGACAAATTCAATGTTGAGCTAATCCAAAGCTCCTAACCAAATGTTGTAATATTTTTTAGGTATCTTTGTTAAGACACTTTGATTAAGTTCACTTAAAATTATGTGATCCATTGAAAGATACTTTCAAAATGTTGTGCTTTAACTAAACTGCTTTCTAAACATTTAAAGGAAACCTAAATTAATCACCAGGCAATTAAGATTAAACCTTTAATCAATTGTAATCTTTCCATTATACAATTAGACAAATTTTAGAGCTTTGATTGCTAAGTTATTCCCTTAGAATTAGGAGGGAAAAAGCAACATAAGCAATTTCTTCATGTTACCACCATTTGTTCACCAAAGTTCAAAGAGGGAACAAGCTATTGATCATAACTTTGAAATGACTGCTGACTTTTTGTGTGTAGTACTGAATATGATTCATAAAGTCACATATATATAGGACAATTTAAAAGGTCATCTGTTGGAAATCACTGTGACAGTGAATGGAATTGTTTTAAAAGGGATTAATTACATAGTGGAAGATTTTGCTTACTCCATAGGCAGAATCAGCTATTAATAGTTTGAAGGATACCATTTGGAAGAACTCAGACCAAAGACCAAATCTGTGGAATTTTAAGACATTTTCAGTTTTTCCCATGTTAGTGTTATATATTTTGATAAATGTTAGCTAGTTGGAAAATCATTGAAGAATTAGTATTGTTTTGCCTAATATTATCAATTTGCCACAGTAGCTACTCTCCATGTTCTTTTCTCATGCATTTCATCTCCACTATTTGTCACTTGTGAACTTATAAGCAAAATAGCAACTACTGTTTCTATTCATTAATATTCAATGGTGTAAAAGATGAACAGGCAGTCATTGATGTTAATAACATATAGTGAGGTCCAGTTCTTAGAACTACTGAGGTTTAATTGCATTGCAACATAATTATTAATACAAATGAACTTAACCCTTGAATTAACATGTACTATTAATACATACCTAAACAAGTACAAAAATTCTTTCCTGTTTTTTCTGTAGATTTATTTGTACATGAGCGCATATTTAGATAGTTGAAAGACTCTAAAGAATTTTATTCTTTTACATAAACTGAGAATTTAGGATCCTGACCAGTTAAAATGCTAACTCTGAATCTGAACACAGGAGTCCATTGTTACTCTTGAAAAGATTACTCTTTCCTGCTTAGATTTTTAATGGCCTGGATTATGTTTCATACAAATTTGAAATTATGCTTTGATTTGTTCTACCTGGAGACAAACCCATTATTAAGCAATTTATAGAAAACTCATTTTTGTTATGATAGAATATCATACTCTTAGACTGAAGAATTCTAAAATGTTAAAGTATGCTGCAAAGCATTTAAAGTTATTTATAGTTTTTACAAACCAAATTGCAATGTTATTTTATTTTATTTTATTTTTTTTTGAGACAGAGTCTCACTCTGTTGCCCGGGCTAGAGTGCCGTGGCGTCAGCCTAGCTCACAGCAACCTCAAACTCCTGGGCTCAAGCGATCCTCCTGCCTCAGCCTCCCGAGTAGCTGGGACTACAGGCATGCGCCACCACGCCCGGCTAATTTTTTCTATATATTTTTAGTTGTCCAATTAATTTCTTTCTAATTTTAGTAGAGACGGGTCTCGCTCTTGCTCAGGCTGGTTTCGAACTCCTGAGCTCAAACAATCCGCCCACCTCGGCCTCCCAGAGAGCTAAGATTACAGCCGTGATTTCCTCATTTGATGTTTTGTACTTGACTAGAGTTTCTAGTGAAATTCAGAAACCAATGATCAATGCACAGTAGGTGGTTATGCAAAATGGTTAAGTAAAATAACAAATCAGGTGGAACTGGGTTCTCAGAGTTCTAGCTCTGTTACCTAAGGCAAGTACTCTCCTATGCCTCAGTTTTATTATCCTTGAAATGGTAGTAACAATTTCTACCTCACGATTCTTTCATTTAAGGAGTAAATATGACAATGTATATTGCTTAGCTAAGTGCTCAGTACATATTAATAGTAAGCATTCATTAAATTGTATAGAAAAACTACCATTGAGAAATAATATTAGTTTTGCTCTATTTTTAGGAGTATATGCAGGAAAAATCCAAAGAAAGCGGCCAAATGTTGCGACAATTTAAGAAGACAGCATTCATTAGGATAAAAAGGGGGGGTGGAGGATTATTATCATTATTTTCCCTGCCCAAGACTTTTTATTTAACCCTGGACTCTGTTTACACAAAGTGACATCAAAAGGCTGAGCAGTTATCTGGAGAACTTGGTCAGTCTGGCTAATTCCTGCCCCATGCCTCCATGTTCCTCTCAATAATAGGCTTGGGTGAAGACAAATTAGTGTTTAGGAATTGCCTCATCTCTGTGCTTAACTTACACAAACATCAGTTTGTTTTATGCACCCAGATGTCTACAGATACCCTTTTGGTAAACTTAATGGACATTTGGATTTATTTTTACAAAATATTGAGAAGATATGACAAATTATAAGTTTTAAAACATAAATTTCATTCATCCCTACATACTTACTGCTGAATTTGATAAACAAATTAGATACTATTCTACTCAAGGGGAAATTATTGCAGAAGACTGTTTTTCCCTGTTTTTGTAACTTCAAAAACTCAGATTAGCCTCTTAATGTCCATATAGTAGCTGTGGATCACCATTTTGGTCAGAAGTATACATTCCTGTCAACAATAAGTTGTCTACAGAAATGATAGGTTTCATGTATGTTATCCCAGTACTTACTATCAAAAACATTTGTATCAGCTTATAAGATCTTTCTGTGAAGGGTAACAAATTTGGGGAAGACAGCACAATCTTCTTGAATGTAGCACTTAGGAATGCATTATTATATCTATTTCTGTAAAATAAGAATTACTTGTTGCATACAATTGTATTTTCTATTTAGTCTGTATATTTTGTTTCTTCATAGTCTGCTTTTTCTAGCATGCTTGATTTAGGAGAGAGTAAAGGGCTATATAATTATAATAATAAATCCAGATTTCCAATGGGATAGTAATACTGCCTAGTTAAAGTTTTGCATCCTACCTGGCTGATCCTGCCAGTAGAAGAAAAAAAATTCTGCTTTGCTTAAAGGCATTGATGTTTAAGGTTTTTCATCACTAATCTATTCACTAAAAGGATCAACTGACAAATGTCACCAAGAGAACATGACTTTATGAAAGAAAT